GAGAAGAAGAAAAGTTCTTGAATTGGCTATTAGCATCCAAGGAGAAGAGAGTTCATAATTAGTTCAATCGTTTGAGTATAAGTAGCTGAATTTAGTAACTCCTGTTTAGCTAGATGAAACTTTGACTTATGGTTTAGCTAATTTACTGTGGATTTGATTAGTTGGTATTGTTCTTGTGTTTGATTGTTAATACCTAGCATGCTAATAATTGATTCTTTAGTTACTTGAATTCATGTTCTGTGTAGCTTAGTGATAATTAAATTACATGAACTTGACACCTAGTGATTTAGTGAACATTAAATTGCTAGATCTAGGATCGACCAAATCTTAGGTAAGTAATTGAAGTAATTAAATTTAGCTCTGTTAGAGAGCATAAGTTATGACCATAATTATGTTTGCCTAATAAATCTTACATAGCTTATTCATAATCATAACCAGTTCTGTGTTCGATTGTGTGTGACCATGCATAGTTTTACATGAATGAGTTAATCATTGGTAAATTTAGACTTGAATTACTAATATAATATAAAATTAGATAACCAACTTTAATAATCCATAATTGTTAGCTAACCAGAAAGAAGAAGTGGATTCGAACTAAATGGGAGTATTTTTTGTAATTGATCGAATTTTGTGTTAAGAAAATTAAGTTCATCTAAACTTGAAAAACTAGATAAAACCCCTATCCTTGCTAGAAAATTAGGTTGATTTAATAGTAGATAGGTTAACCATTCAAAACCGTTCCCTGTGATCGACACCCAACTTACTCAACTATTCTATAATTTCACTAGGTACACTACAACTTAGTTAGTTAAGTTAGTTAGGTTATAAATATAAAATCAGGTGTAGCTATTTGCACGCATCACTAATCACATGTGATTACAATCTATATAAATCATATAGGATTTAATTTATGTAAATCCTATTGAAGATTATAACATCAACAAATCATATATAAGAATTTATCATCAAATCACATGTAATTATAACATGTAAATCATATATGATTTAGTTTCTATAAATCCTTTTGCCGATTATAACAACATCAAATCATATATGATTGAACACAGTCATAGAACACAGATGATTCATCACCTTCATTCACAGTTTTAGGATCTTTCTTCTTTCTCGATTATTTTATTTCAAAAGTTTTAGTAACTTCTGCAAGTTCAAATATACTTTATTTACTTAACACATGAATAACAGAATACTAAATCAATAAAATAATTGTTGATAGTCGTAAAATCGAGTGTTATTAAACAGGAAACCTTCAAAAACTTGTTCGACACCGAAAACTAGTGTTTTAGTACACAAAAGGTTTTGAATAAATGGAGATTTCGTGTATATTAATCTAATAAATAGTAGAAAATTTTGATATAGTTGTAAAATCAAGTGTTATCAAAACAGAAAACCTTCAATAACTTGATCGACATAAAACACTTTGGTTTTTGTTCAAAAAAACTTTAGAATAATACAGATTTAAAGTTTATTGACCAAAATTACAGTAGAAAAACTCGATAAACATGAAAAACGAGTGACATTGATGAAAAACACATTAGTATGAGTTTTTATACCATTAGATGAAGGTTTTGACGGCGATTTCGTTGTTTTCGACGACATTTCAAGTGTTTTCATGATTGATTCAACGAAAATCGATGAAAATGTTTGCGTTTTCTGTTGAAATGTGAAAGTGAAATGAGGGTTTTGGGTTGAGAGAAAGAGGGTTTTGAATTTTGATTATTGAGGAGACGTGATGTATGCACACGATTTAGCAGTTGTGGGGTTGGTTTCAATATTTACGATTTTACACTCGTCGTTTTTTAAATGCTGCATGTTTCTATCGAATGTTTAAACTAATTACAAAAATGTCACCTTCTATATTTAAAGGTGATTTTTGTTCTCAATTGCTCTCGTAATAAAATTGTTCTCTCTCTCTCTCTCTCTCTATATATATATATATATATATATATATATTATATATATATATATATTATATATATATATATATACACTAGCCGTTTACCCGCGCCAAGCAACGGGTTTGGATAGTTTTTCGAAAATTAATTTACGGGAATGGTTTATTTCGTTTGGGCAAATAGTTTACTAAATCTAACAATTATCAATAAGAGTAATGCTAGGATAAATAAAATTAATGAGAATTAAAAATAAAAAGTTGGGATTCTTTACAGATGTACATCTACATATTATTGATTGTGAATTAATAATCGTACAACTTTATTTTATACATCATATGTTTAGTAGGTATCCTTTATAGTTAAATATTATTTACCATTAAGTGTCAAATACACATTATCATATAAGAAACGATAACAAATATTTTTTCGTTCAAAAACATTTTATATGTCAAAGAACACATCACTTACGTACATATTGTTATCGGCCAGTTTTATGTCTTCTGGACTATAGTTTCAGTTTATATAATACTAATGGGTTAACACATATTTTTATATATTATTGTTATTGTTAAACTTTTGTTTATCGGTTTTTCCTCTCAAGTTTCCGGTCACAATTGTTTGATATTATAATATGAAATAAAGTTTATAGTGCGGTCACTAATTATTTGTATAACATTTTACTGTTATTTATGTTGTATGGTAGTATTTTGTATCATCAAAATTATTTTAGATAAACATTGGAATCTTGAAATTACAAGGTCTTTTAGTTTGGAAAAAATGACAATATATATACAAAGGTGTTAGTGTTGTCATGATAGATGAATTGTGACACTCTAGACGTCATTTTCCTAAATCAATGACCGTTTTAACGTTATTATAACTCAAAAAATCATCATAAACTATATCGACAGGAGCTAGATTTTCTTTTTTCACGACCAATGAGGCATTAAAATTTGACATTTTACATTGTCTTTTTTGTCATTTTATATTTATTTGTAAATAAACTTTGTCAAAACCAAAATGTCATTTTTTATATTAATACACTTTAATAGCACAAAAGGTAATAAGAAGTTTTATAACTTATCCAAAGACATAATTAACTCCGTTTTGATTTGACTATTAGTATAATTAAGCAACCCAAACAACCACATAATAATCAAAATTAATTTTTATAATAAAGTTAAAACTTAAATTCAGTGTCATGAATATATATCATTGAATTTAAACAATTAGTTTCATGCATCGCGACTATATTGGTAATTATACAATTTTTTTCATAAAATGACCTTGATATCATATTCAAATTATAGTAGTAGGTAACTCTTATAAAAATCTTCATAATCTTTAAGATTTTCTTACAAATAACACCATTAGTTTGACAATTACTATTTGTTCCCCAATCATGTTCTTGTCGGTCATGTTTATGTTTGTTTCTTAGGACAACCGTTTGTCACTTCAACATGTTAAAATCATAAAGAATATATAAAAAAACAATAAATTTTGGTTAAAAGGGAACTATCTTCTTATGAATAATATCTCAAGTATGCCAAGTAATTAAACAAAGTTTTAAATAAGAAAAACTTTAGTTAAAGATAATGAAATTTGCAACTAATTAAAGCATTGTAGTTTGGAAGCAGTATAATTTGAAAACATTCACCCAATTATAGCATTGTACTTTCAAAGTACAATACTTTAATAAGAAAATATCTACAATAAAGTTATAAAAAATAGTGTTAATGCAACATAATGCAATATTAAGCGTATGGTCACCCCTATTACAAATTTCTTTTATTTTTTCTCGAATATATAGATGTTTAATGGCAAACATCTCTTTGAATATAGGGTGTTTAAAACATTTATGTAAAAAAAATAAGAGTATAAGATTTTGATATGATAAAACCTAAATGAAACCGCTAAATGAAAAGAGTTTTTTTTTACAACCACTAAATGAAAGAGTTAGTTGATCAAGGCTATTACCTGTTGGTTGAAGTTGAAGCCACAACCACAATTCTTTAGTCAACACCACACCACACCATATTTCTCCTCTCCTTTCACATAATACCATAAAAACCAACAAATAATCTAATTATCTCCTGGAGCTAAAAAAAACAAAAAACAAATCTTATTATTGGAATAAATGTGAATTTTATAATATAAATAAAAATCAACAAATAACCTAATTGTCTGTAGGAGCTGAAAAACAAAAAAAACTTATTATTGGAATAAATGTGAACTTTATTGTATAAAGCCCAAGAGATACCACAAACCCATCCGGCTAAAACATACACCAAATATAATAAATAGCACCACATGAAAGAACTACACCATACCAAACATTACTCAAAGAGATTAGTCAAAAATATATAAATTCAAAGTTAGTAAATCAAATTTAAATGTTCTTTCTAGAAATAAAAAATTAGAAGGCCATAACCTAATTAGCATATATACCTTATCAAAATCTCAATGCTTTCTCCAATAATGTCTAACCTGGATCTCAGCCTTTAAAAACCAAGTTATCTTTGCTGTCACAAAACTAATGTTTGTGGTTATCTTACCAAACACATATCAAAGTACTAAATTATCACAATTACAGTACACTCACACCTAAAAATCCAACCAAATAATAGGGTAATAACTCACATCTTTACATAGTAAATGAATTTTAAAGTTCAAAGAAATAGAAATTGATCCAAAAATAGGAATGCATCTAAATAATAGGATTATGATTCACATAATTGATAAATAAGATTCAAGAAATACCCTTGCATCCAAAAACAATAATTCACCCAGCAACAATCTGTGATGGCCATGGAACTGGAGAGCATCTAGATGAGGCATACACTACAAGAAAAGTCCTTATTAGTGACCAATTTTTTAGTGACTACCTAAATTTTTGTCACTAAGACATCATTTAGTCACCAAATATTTAGTCGTCACTGAATTTTGGTAATCCTTCAATTTTAATGACCAATTCTATGTGGTCATCACTAAATCGGTCACTAAACCATGAATAAAATTAAAATATTTTCTTTCATATCATAATAACTATTAGTGACTAAAAATAATGGTCACTGTGTTAGAGGGCTAATGAGAAAAAATAATGGTCATTTCATTGAAGGTTAAGTGACCAAAAATATTGGTCACTAGCTACTCTTTGTTATTCGACTTAAAAGTTATGCAGATAAAATTTGACCACTCAATAGTGGTTACCGAATTACAAAATGAAAAACTATTAGTGACCACAAAATAATAGTCACTAGAGCTTTTGTTTTCTTTCATACATAATTTTCCAAAAGCTCATTACATTTGACTAGTCCTTATCTATGTTCCTGAGCACTATCCATAGCTAACCAAAACCCTTTTATTAAGCATATTTAGTATACTACCCTTCTCACATATACGCGACCTAAAATCATTTTTGGACCTTTTTTTGTGGTGTTTCATAAATAAAGAAATTATTTTTCCTTTTTCTATTTTCCATTATTATAATATACGGAGGAAAGCGTTGAGATGATGTTTTCATCGTAATGTTCAAACTCTAGAGTGCAAAGTCATCCCGCCTCTCGTCAACACATCTCTCCTCATAGTTTGCCCTAATTCGACATACCAACAATTGGCAGTTCGGAACCAATGTCGTCGGTCTATCGTCGCTCCACACCCTCCCATCGACGCACCTCTGTTCTCCACTCGATGTCAAACAGGTACTCTTTTCTCCGCTCCGACCATCGATGTATCTACATCTATTGCTCACATGTCGCATAGTAGCTAATCAATCGACTCCCTGATTCCATTCTACCAAATAGTAGCTAAAAGTTTTATTTTCTATCATTAACCTAAACGTGACCGTCTTCTCTCTCGCCTAACAGTTGACGCTCCTCCACATCGTTCCTTTCCAAATTCGCAGCTCCATCCGTCGCCTCCTACATCTCCGGCTGTCCCACCCTCCCACGCCTCCGACACCACCATCGCACAGCAGAACTCTGACTCATCTTCAGGTATCTAGTCCGCTCTTCAGTTTTTCCTGATTTCTCTTTATTTTTGCTGAAATCGATGCTCCAAATCTGATGAAATTGGCGATTTCTCAGAAATCGGTAATGAAATCGTTGATATGAAATTGTTTGTTGATTTCTTAAAATCGTAATGTTCTGATGAAATTGTGTGCTGATTTCTCCACATTGTATGTTTTGATTCGAGTATAGTTGTCAATTACGTATTACGTGAAAAGGAATACAATCATTTTTCAAATTTCTTTCTCTTCTCATTAAACTCCATCTTATAGCTTCTATCTTGTCTTGAGATTAGATGAAAAATGAAAGTTGCTCTTTTCTTCTTGTTAAAAATATAGTACTTGTGGTTTTGATACACATTTTGTTTCATCCATGAACACATGCTTTCAAAATGATAAAATCTATTATGTTCTTGTGTTTGATGACGTTAAAGGATCTTCAGATGCTAAGGAGCAGAATCAAAAAGCCCACACACATTCCCAGGAGTTGGAGAAGCAGGTATGTATGCAATGAATTAATTTTTATCAAATTATGTCATGATTTGCATTCTGTTGTAGCTTATAGGTGTTTATTCCTTATTATAGGTGGAGAAACTATGGTTGGAATTGAATCTCAAACTCAGGTTAAAGGAGGATTTGGAAACTAGATCGAAAGAATTGGATCAAAAGATGATTGATATAAATCCAAAGCTTCAAGAGGTAAGATTTTCTATTATTTTTGTTTTTTTATTCATTAGTAGTATACCTGAATTGGAATTCAGCTCCATTCCATTCCGACATTTTGGTTGCAAATGATTAATGAGTTGAATTCCACTAAATCCTACAAGCGACAAAATTCAACTTTCCTTACATAAAGTCATGGAATTCAATTCCAATCTCCCGCACTTGTAAACTGAAATTCAACTTTCCTTGCAGAAACTCATGGAATTCAATTCCAACTAAACGTGATCATGGAATGTAATGAATCATTCCATTACCATGGTCATTCCATTCCATGTAACTAAACATACTCATGGCTAATGATATCTATTAAATCCTACAATTAATTTAATTTCTAATTTTCTACAGAAAAATTGATGTTGACAAAAGATCAAATAACACTTAAACTTGTAGATTTTGGATTAGCAAGATAAGATACAATTAGTTACTGGGATAATGATTGCCAAAATAGGGGCATATCATTGGATGGCTCCAGACTCCAGAGTAATTTTTTACTGTATGTTTTAATCTTTTTTTTTTGTCAAAGATAAAGGTTTTAAATGTCTTTTTTTATTTTTCTAACAATTATATAGTACTAGGACAGTACGGCAAGGAGAAAAGAAGCATTACAACCAGAAAGTAGATGCTTATAGCTTTGTAATTGTATCATGGGAACTTTTACACAACAAACTACCCTTTGAGGGTATGTACAACCTCCAAGCTACTTATTCTGCAGCTTTCAAGGTAAAAAAGTAATTTTATATTATCTCCTAAAGGGTAAAATAGTAAAACAAGAGGGGTGTAATTATAATACTTACTTGCAGAATGTGAGGCCAAGTTAGATGGAAGATCCAGATTCTCGACCAAACTTCAGTCAAATCATACAAATGTTACATTATTTTTCGATAATTTTGAGTTTTCTAGTTAATCAGCTAGTGATTTCCATGCTTAGAACAGGTGGTTTTCAAACGGTAAGTACTAGTTTTAAGTTTTAAAAGTTAATTGCTATCATTAATTTTATTTGTTAATGAAGTGTTATTTTGTTTTTTCAGCCATTAAAACAACCAGAAGCAACACCATGTTATACTCCATCACTTGGACTAGGAATAGTCAACACATCATCTTTGACTCACCAACCTCAACCTCAACCTCAACCAGAAGCTCTTCTTTTTGCTGCTGCTAACACTACATGTAAACATTAATCTCTTTCTTGATAATGTCTTTTTGACATATATATAGATAGATTAATGAATATTAGTTTGCATATTTTGTGCATATCTTGAAGAGAGCAACACAAGGCCTTTTGTGATATCAGAGGAGGTAGATATTTTTTCCCCAATTCCCATTAATTCATAAATTCTTGAAATTTTTCATTCAAATGATGGGGCATGGCAACCTCATAAAGTATTGCAAGAAATCTTTCAAAATTAGCAAGTGTCTTTGGAAATGCCAAATCACAAGGAGGTAATTTTTACAACTCTTTTACATTTTGATGTCTTTTTTCATTACTTCTCTTGCACTCTTTATGGTTTTGTTATATGTTGATGAAAGATCAAATGAGACTCGCAAAATTGCATAAAGCATATATTATGATGCCATCAACAGGGGATCTCACTTTTTTGGTATGAATAATTACAAAATCTTTGAGCTTTTAGTTTATAAAATCATAACCAAAATTGTAGACTTCATGATATATAACCATCTGGATGCAACTTGCTTCTACTTTAACAAATCAAAGACCACAAGAAAAGTTGGACCTCCTTCGCATTAAAGATACAAAAGCAGTACATTTCTTTAAATCTCTTTCATTTTATAAACATTGTTGTTGTCAATTGTCATTATAATGTCCATAGTTAATAATTAGTATCAACTTTAATTGCAGAGGTCAAGGACGGCATATCATGCTTGAAAGCAGCAGAAAAAGGCTGTGGATTGCAATGAAACTTAACATCTACTTATCTTACTCTTATTTGTCTTCGACTCTTTGTTTGAAATGAGATTCAAATTTTTTATATTTTCATGGTAAAGAAGAGGTTGAATCCATCTTCTTTGAATATTTTGTATAATCCTTACTTTGTCTAAATGTGAATATATGATGTTACTTTTTAGTCATTTCGGTACTGTATATTGTGGGTTTGTTCAAATTTTAGAACAATTTATGTTTATCTTTTGACGAGTTTTTATGGCAACTAGGTGGATAAATCAGTGACGATTTTTTTATGGTCACTAATTGGTTAAACCGGTGACGACTTTCTATGGTCACTAATTGGATACACTAGTGACGACTTTCAATGGTCACTAGTCGGATGAGACAGTGACAACTTTTTATGGTCATTAATTAGGAAAAACAGTGACGACTTTCATTCATTAGTGACAACATTTAGTGACGAAATGGGTCGTCATAGATTTAGTGACTAGTATATTTTAGTCACTATTTAGTGACCACTTTTATATTTTCGTCACTAATCAGTTTTTGTGACGGACCTATAGTGACGAAAAGTGACAACCAAATTTTTTGGTCACTAAATCATTTAGTGACGAATCCTTCTATTGTTAGTGACCATTTCGTTTTCGTCACTAAGTTGCATTTTTTTTTGTAGTGATATTTGGCAATTGACGAGGATTATTTAGGTTACCGATCAAAGCATAGCGACCATATAATCGGTTTAGGTTTATTAGTGGTGATGGAGTTCACCAAAACCTTAAAAATACGATGAGAGAAAGTATGATGAGAATTGATTTGGGATTAAGATGTGGCGGCACTAACTGGTGCTAGCGGTGGAGTGCGGTTTTAGAGAGAAATATACCAGCGACGATGGTTTATTGGTTGTGGTGCAGTGGTTTCTAGAGGCGGAGAAGGAGGAAGAGAGGCGGTGATATGGTGGTTTATATATACCAGAGCTAGTAATGACAGCAAATGGGCGATACAATGATAGTTTGTTTGGAGATGACTGGTTTGTATCTTTGTGTTATTGACTCTCTATGTATAAGGAAGGCAGAACAAAATCACAATATTTTAAGCGAGATCTTGTGATTCTTAGGATTTGACTCGATCAAGGATTAAAGGGCCGGGTTAAAGCCCGATTTGAAGGTATTAGGCGATAAACAGGGGAGATTGTTGGGTGAATAGGGTGTTATTTGGTCAAAATATTGCATAAAGTGATTGTAAGTATTGCAATTTGGTATCTACGTCTTAAAATTCAGCATTTTAGTGTAAATGCTTATTAAGGTGTATATATATATATATATATATATATATATATATATATATATATATATATATCTATATATAAAAGGTGCGGTGTGGTTCGAGTTTTTGCGGGTTTGCAAAACTAAAAACAGCACTGTCGGTTTTTATTTTGGTTTCGGATTTAGGTTTTTGGTTTTTCGGTTTACGCGGTTTTGTCGGTTTGGAGTTTGGTTTTACTCACCCTAATTGAGATGCTTAACATTTTGAAGAAAAAAACTAATAAAATAAAGCCCACTCTCTTCTGTCTTTGCTCAAGTTAACACCCAACTAAAAAATATAGATCTCTTAATTTTTGTTTTCCTGTCTCATTTCGGGTAAACGAAAACTGGAACTTTTTAAACTTTTCATTGTACCTCGACTTTTTTATACCAATTTGATAAGCTTCTATTATTTACAGAAATGGTCCCTGGACAAGTATTCCCCCCCCCCCCCCCCCCCAGTCATATTCTGGAACCGCCTCAGTGTTTTTATATTTTATATGGAAAAAACTCGAACGCATAAATCTTAAAGCACCATTAATTAAATCAATGTGCTTCCTCTCTCCTTGTATAGGTATTAACATCGACTAGCTCATAGAGAATATAATTGTGTTGTGGCACGTTTATAGTAATTTAATTACTATATATACCAAGGATAAGTTTTGGACTCATGACCTCCATTTTATCATGAGAAAGTCTTGATCACTTATACAAGCCCAGTGAATTAGATAAAATTACTTAAATGACAAATCAACACAAAGCATACCCTCTTAACCCGCCCACAAGACAAGGAAGTACCTGCACATAGGTTTTCATTATTTAATATATCATAGTTACAACACATCAAATAACAAAAAGAAAACGAAATATACTCTTCACACCATGAAATCCGATTTCCTTCCTCCATCTTCTGAAAAAGAAGGCGAAGATGAAGAAGAAGACTTATTAAAAAACTCAATGCAATCTGCAATAGCTTCGTTATAATGGGTATTGGAAGAATAATAAGAAGAATTGCACGAAGACCTTGGAGGATCAGGCCGATCACATGACCGCCTTCTTAAGCCGGCGGAACCACCACCCGAGCTGCTCGTGGTGGCCTTAGAGGATGGGATAGAGAACATAAACCTCATGAAAATACGACGAAAGCGGTTGAAGATCTTCATGGATGAGAAGGTAGGGGTTGGAGATGGATTTGTTTGAGGAGGGTTAGAACCTCGTATTTGTATGACAAAGTTGTTCTGTTTTTGAGGATTGAACATGTCTTGGTTTAGGGGCTGGAATTGTCTCCGGGAAGTGTACTGTTATTATGGGTGTCACAAGGGGAGTTGTATAAAAAGAATCAGAGTTTGGTTTTATTCTATTTTGCTAGGAGATTACATCATGAGAGTATTAACAAAAGAATGTAATCAAGTTCTTTCTTGTCTCTAACCATGTGCCCAAATCATGATACTTTGCCCAACTATATTATCTTATCTTTTGAAAAACAAATAAAAATGTCGTTGTATTTGAAGATTTTAAGAGGAGATAAAATAGCCACAGATCAAAACAGGTAATTTTTATTATGGATCGTAATTTTGGTTGACCTGTAAAAAATAATTTCGTTTTTATTATTCTATAGATGATTTAAATATTAAATATATGGCATTTTAGTAAAAAAAAAAAGTTAAAATCTATAATCTTACAAAATTTTAAATATAATTACTAAAACCATATTACTTTGATAACCTAATTATTTCATTAATAAATGAATATATGAAGTATATTTTGAATCTAAATATCTCTATATATGAAGTATATATGATTAAGTATTAATTATATAAATTAATTGTTATTTTATGTTTTCTTTTTTTCTCGAGCTGTGTTTGTTGTTTTTTTTAATCGATATATTTCGTGTTACATAAAACATTATCGTGTCGTGTCGTTTTAGACAAAAACACGACACGATGACTCGATTTCACACACATACTAACATATTGGTTTTACTATTTCAAATGTGTTATGTTAAGATGTATTTTTTTATTGTATATTTTATAATATGTTCGTATTGGAATTTAAAATCCGAACGAATTCAATTCGATGAGGTGTTTTGTAGACATGAAATTAAGGGTGTTTTTTGTATTTAGTATTTCAAAAGATTGTAATGGAAATGAAATTCAATTCCCATAAAATAGAGAGTTCGGTTGCACAAAAAGCAAGAAATAAAATTATTTCTAAATTCATAAATTACCTTATATATAGAAATTCAAAATAACTTGCTAACAAGGAATGTATATCTACATCTATATATCTATATCTATATTATATTATAAAAGAAACTTTTTTTTCTTTAATGACATTAATTTGAAATTCTCATGACTTTTCAATTTCTTTATAATAATAATTATAAATTGGTTAATAATGTTAAACACGAGCAAAACCTAAATGATAATCCTAAATTAATAAACTTCAATACTAGAGTAACATATTTTATTTTTACTTATAAAATTATTTCTTTAACTTTAAACATATTATATTTAACTTATTAGTTTGATATGTAGTTAATTTCCTAAAACTATTTTTATAATAATTATAATGATAAAGGGTTAACTTCAATAAAATTTTTAATTAAGCTTAATAGAAAATCCAAAGACTATTTTGTAAATAGTTAAAAGTTGTAAATTATAGTGTTAAATGCAAAATCTAAACTATAATACCAAATTAACTAAAAAAAATTCTTAAACTATTTTTAGAATAATTATGAGTTTCAAAATAAGTATCTTAAAAATAACTTAGAACAACAATAGATAAATTAATATTATATATAAAAATTATATTGTTACATTTAAAAAAAATGTTTAATGTATTAAATAATTACAATAATATAAATTAAAATGCTAAGCAAAATATTTTTTTTAACAATTAATTAATTATAACCGATGCAAATATCATTAAAACATATATTATATTTAATTATATTCACGAGTAACCACATGGTAGAAGCCATTGAGATAATTAAGATTATATAGTTTTAAAAGATATCTAAATTATCATATAATTCAAATTAAGCAATGTTTTATATCAGCTTAGTATAAGAATTATCATATCAAAGTTAACAACAATGTCATCGTTATATTTAAAAACATATAATTGTAAAGATTTCAACTATTTAGTTGTATTCTACGCAACATGTGGATATTCACCTAGTTTAATTCATATTATTTACTCACATGCACAATTACATATCACAACGTTATTTTAGTTCCAACAGGTAAATAAGGTGTAAGATGTCCGAAAACCTCTAACATAGAGTCGATTAAATGCATTCGTAGGAAACATCCAACATAAAAAAACTCAAACACAAATAAAAAAAGTTAAAAAAATTGGTAATCGTGCCCAAATTTAAGTTGTCCGTGCATATGATCTCTACCTAGACAACATTAGTCTGTGAGGAATTATAAATTGGTATATGACTGAACAAAGAGACTGAAAACGAAAAAGAAGAGGGCTATGGTTCCTAAGTAAAAAATTGGATAAATATGCAAGTAATGGAAATAAATATAAGAAGTAAGTTGAAAGCATATACTAATTGCACATGCCAGAATTAAATAGGATAATAAGAGTAAGAAGGTGAAAACTAGCATATAAGCGTTAATAATGAAAATGAACATATATCACTCACTATGCCATTACTACTCTGCTACCCTGATTCTAAGCCTCCATAATTTCCTTTCTAAACTCATGTCCTTGGTGAATGCAACTCATTCAAACCTAACATAGTGGAACCCATTGATTGGCTTGATAAAGAAATAATAAATATCTGGAAGTTTATGTGATATAAAAATGAAGAACAAAGATGAGTAATATTGTATTTCATAGAAAAAAAGAGTAAAAATATTACAATAAAAAACTAAGGCTTGGGAGATATTTTTCATAAACACTCTCTATCCAGAAAAAAGTACATTTTTGTGCACATAAAATGCATGATCATTCATTCACTACTTATAGGAAAGAAGTGAATTTTATAAACATACAAAGAATATTATAATTGAGATATCACTTATCTTGTAGAACATTTCATGCTCCAACAATCTCTGCCTAAACGCTTGGAAATGATGACAAATACAAATATAGTAAGAAAGGATAAAATATATAATATTGAGAAAAATATGCCATGTTGAATGTTGAAATTTTTGGAATATGTGGAATACAAAACAAAACAAGGGCCATAAAGGCAGTAGAAGCAAACAAAACATACGCCAACAAGATTAAATATTCATTAAATGATTTTCAACTTAAAACATACATAAGAGAAGAAACAAGAAGTTATAACTTGGAAGCTTGTTGCTTTTTTCTAGATCTCATGTAGTGGATGTAGAGAACCCAAAACAGAGTTCGTCTAATTGAATTGCACCCAAGAAGAGATCCAACAAACCTTGACACCTATTGATCTTGTAAACACCTTGAGCACAAACCCTAACTAGGATTACAACTTCGACGCGTACATGGTCGGGGGATATGTGACACATTACCGAAGCAGATTCGGGAAGGAGAGAATAAAGAGAGGTAAAAACCGAATGCAAAGTTAGGATCAACATACGGTCGGTTTTGCACCTCTATTTATAAAGGGTAGGATTTTAGTTTACTTTTTGGATTATTACTTGGTCACTATGTAATTATCCTTAAGATTTGAATTTCAAATCTTACACTTTAAATCCATGAGATATACAAGTTTCCATTAACTAACTAATGACTAAGAAACTAAAGAACTGGATCCTCATTATCTCTCTCTTATCAATATTTCTTAAATTTCTTTCATGTAACCCAAAAAGGGCCCAGATATTAATAGTACTATTACAAAAATGTTTTGAATGTGGTTATAATCCAGTTAGTCTCCCACTTTTATACATCACCAACAACTGTATGGTCAAATATTCGTTAACATAGAAAGGGGTTTGATATCCACGAACACTACTATAATAATAAATCTAAGCTATGAAAAAACCCTAAGATAAGTGCTCGTATATTTTTTTTCTTCAATATATCTATATAATCTTGAGACATAAAAGCACACCAAGCTCAGTGTTCAAGATTATGTTTAGACATAGAGATTTGTGGTGACCACATCATACTGCATTATTGATCCATTATTAACACAATCTGAGATCAACCAAGCATTTGATGTTAACACCAAATCATTGAGCGGATAGAGATATTGCTTATCTGGTTAGGGCAGAAATAATGTATAAACTTCGACTATATAAACCTGGTCTATGTATCATGTCATACATGGACATTCTCTGTACGGCTGCAAATTATGGACAACGTTGGAGAAAACCAAAGCATAACATACTACATAACTAAAATCTTATGCATCTTTGTGTGAAGAATATATGATATTTTAATCTTAGAAGTACTTGTGATTGATTCCATGAAGTAGAATCTAAGTGTATGCTACTCCAATATTTAATATCCATTAAGTATTCATGAATATTAGTCGCATATCTATGGTATGTCCATCTCCATGGATAGTCTATTAATACTCTATAATAGTACTTAAAACACTACTTCCTTCTAGAAGTACAACTGAGTGTCGAGTAGGGGTGAGCATTTGGACTGAATCGGTTTCCCGGAAATATGTAGACCTTGGACCATATCGGTTTCAAGCTTATAGAGTCCAGGTTCTGGTCCGGTTCTGGATCTTTTGGTTCTTATAATGTAACACCCTGCCCCGAATCGTTCCTATTTGCGTGTGGGTGACGAAATTTAGATGATATGGGTGTTCAGTTGTGTTTTAGAGCCTAGGGGTATTTTAGTAAAGTGTTAGATCAAACATTAATAGAAATTGGATTTTTATTCGGTAAGTTTTAAGGCGATCATGAGACGATCAAAGCATAGAGCTACTTGTTACCTTTTCATGGATATAAGGATCGTCAGAATCGGGTTTTTAATGAAGAAGTTATAGCCTTCAGAAGAATTTAGGGTTTTGGGGAAAAATGCTAGTACGCGGGGAGTACATGGGGAGTACGTAGGGCGTACTCGTGCTAGGACCCTTACGCGAGGCATACCTTGGCATGCATTGAGCGTAGTTAGCAGTTTGTCAGCGAAGCTTCGGCCTCGTACGTTGGGCATACGAGGGGTGCAAGAAACCCTAATATTAAGTGTGTGTACCCTATCTAAGCATCTTAAGTCTTTAGGGTTGGCCTCTTTACCAGTCTCCCAACCCCCAAAACCCTAGAAATTGGCCCTTAGCCTCCATTAATGTGAATTTGAGCTATTTAGG